ACACGGGGGTTCGCTATACTCACCTGGTCTCGATCCGGGTTAGGGCGAGACTTGTATAAAGTATTCCGTGCGATTGTTTTCTGGCGATTCGTTGTGGAAAAGAGTTATGGATGTCGTAACCGATAGTAACAAAATAAACAATCAATTCTATATGCGATAGAATAACTAAGTATCAATCTGTGTAAGAGAAGGACTTATGAGAGTTTACCACAACGAGTGTAATAATGAAATCCAACCCATTCTTATACCCATTGCTTCCAGTCCTGACATCTGACCCTTCCGGCTTTCCTTTGGCATCGCCAGATTCCCCAGATGTCGTGGCATCTGTCCCAAGGACGAGATGTCACTTCTTGGCGAGATGTCAATCACGTGATCAGCGCCCCGAGGTGATCATTACCTTTCGTCGCAGCCGCTGGTTGACCTTCAACCACGACTCCTGCGTCAGGGTGAGGATCCTTCTTTGTTACTTGTAACAGATGACTGCATATTTGGAACACTGCCTGCAAGGGTAAGGCCGCGATCGTTAATGACTATATTTAACGCGTGGAAGTTTCAATTTATTAATACATCTACTTATTAATTTATCACGAGGATTGCCCTGATAGATTGTATTTCATACATGGCCAGGGTGCAATCTACCGCTATAATTAATTTCCGAAATATTTACCCGAATTCTACTACAATAATTCGTGCGGTACGAGAAAAAGCAACTACGTAGAAAGTACCTATGTTGGATAATTAATCCGATGCCTTTACGCCCTACTCTGTGAAAATGCCCGATCCTCTTCAGGTGAAGTCAAGCTCTAAGATATTGTTAGCGGCTTTGATATATTCTAGTGAATATAAAGTTAATTGGCATCCACCCTAATCAAGTCTGAAATTACGCTTACTAGTTATCAGTCGCCGCAGTACCTATTTAGAAGTACTGACTATAGTCTGTCTTAGCCTTTTCCATCTTTAGAACCACGTCTTTTTTGTTATATCATATTCAATATGGTTCGAATCACAGCTCTAATGAGCGGATCCATCCTTCTTTTTGCTCTTCAGGCTTTAGCTAGTAGGTTAATTAACTTAAAGATTTTTCATATTACTAACGTTTATGTGTTTGTAGTGCCTGTAGAAACGACATCTGTTGAGCCTGCCGCGGAGAAGCGCGGTCTTAAACTCGCCTTCAAGCGTGGAGAAGAGGTTGAGCCTGCCGAGGAGAAGCGCGGTCTTAAACTCGCCTTCAAGCGTGGAG